GTGTTTTCTCTCTCTCTCTCTCTCTCTCTCTCTCTCTCTCTCTCTCTCTCTGTGTGTGTGTGTGTGTGTGTGTGTGTGTGTGTGTGTGTAGGTAGGTATATGAGTGTGCACAAGTGCATATGCCTATGTGTTCCCACACATGTAAAGTGTGAAAATCTTGGGTGTTGCCTCATGGGTAGTAGTATCCACCTTGCTTTTGAGTCAAGGCCTCTTGCTGGTATAGCATCCATCACTTAGGCTAGGCTGGCTGGCTAACAAGTCCCAGGGATCTGAAGGTCCTGCAGGGAGCTAGGATTACAAGGTTGCAGCAACATGCCTGCCTTTTTTAAACCTGGGCTTTGGGGACTCAACTCAGTTCCTCATGTTTGTAAGGCAAATACTTCACTGACTGGGCTTCGTCAGTTGGCTTTATTTATAAAGACAGAATTAGGCAGCAGCCTGGATCAGAAACTAATCAGAGTTTCCCAGCTACCAGTCACCATGGTACCTACCTGTAATCTCAGCATTTTCGGGGGGTAGAGGCAGGAGGATCAAAAGTTCATGCCAGGATAGGCTACATGGGGAGACACTCTTAGAAAGCAAACAATACAAAAAAAAAATAAAATTCCACATGGACAGGTTTAATTCACAGTGGCAGCAGGTGGCCTATAGAAAACACAAGTGAGCAGGGGACAGCCTGAGTAGTTTGTAACCACCTGATCTGACCATGGCTTGAATAGTTGGCTGTGTGTGATTGGCTAACACTCGCTCTGCTTTTTACACTGATAGGTTCCAGTCCGTCTACATAACAAGTGGGGTTATAGTTCACTGAATATGGAAAAACATTTAGGCCAAACTTAATTCACTGTAACCCTTTGAACTCCACTCCTCACATTCCAATGTCTTTCTAGTTGAGGCTTGAGGGGAGTGGGCAGGCCTGGCTGGAGCCAGCTGCTCAAAAGCACCAGGAAGCTCCAAGTTCCAGGGACAGCAGTTTTTTCTGGGTTTCCTCTTCCCTTCCATCCTTTCCTCTCCCCTCTTCTCCTCCCCTCCCCTACTTTGAGACAGAATCTGGCTATGTAGCTCAGGTTGGTCTGGAGCTCATGGCAGTCCTCCTGCCTCAGTCTCCCCAGTGCTGGGGTTATAGGCACACCCTGCCACTCTTTTAGACAGAGTCTCACTATGTAGCCCTGACTGGCCTGGAACTTTCTGTGTAGCTAGGCTGTCCTCAACCTCACAAAGATCCACCTGCTTCTGCCTCTACCTCCCTAGTGCTGGAACTAAAGGCTGGCTTTCTGTCCTTCTAGTGGGAGGAGGTAAAGTCTCATGTAGCCTAGGCCGGACTTGAACTCCTGTGTAATAGGGATGACCTTGAATTTCTAATCTTCCTACTTCTGCCTTACGGTAATGCTTCAATTGCCTGTGTTTGCCACCATATCCAGTTTATGTGGTGCTGGGAGAGGAACCCCAAAACTTACTGCATGCTAGGTAAACACTACCAACTGAATTACAGCCCCAGGCCCTGGTTTCCATGTTTTCAGAGGCGAGCATACATTGGCAAATGCGTGTGGCTGGGGACAGACAGGGCAGGGAGGCAATGATCCCACCCATTCAGCAGGAATGCAAAGGGCTGGCAGTCACTTCTGACTTTGAGGATCAGGACTTTGGTCCTCGTCTTTGCAAGGTAACACGCTTTCAATGTCCTGATGGTTTAAAGCATAAATGGAAGAATCAGACAGTGAAAAGCCTGGGCTTTGGGATGGAGCCCTATCTGGTACCCCAGTTAGCATACAGCCTCACCTATGACCTGTGCCAAGTTACATGACCACACCCTCATGAGGAGGATCAGAACATACACAGCACTGACTTGGCAGGACTTCTGTGAGTCTTAAATGAGACCTCAAGGAAGAGTGGAAGGCCCCCACCCAGCCCTCAGCTTACCTCCCCACAATGGGTCCCTTCTGTTTTACAGACTTCCTTCCTTCCAAATGGGCTCTTCCTTTTACCGAGTTCTCCTATTTGTTGGCTTCACTGCTTCAACTTTCTGCATGTTCTCATCCAGTCACAATCCCAGCAATAGAGAGTCCTCCCGGCCTTCCTCCCTGAAGAGCAACCCAGCCTCTAAGGTGTCTCCCAGCAACAGCATGTTCGCCTTCTTGTTGTACCAGAGGCTGGTTCAGGAAAGTCCAGGTCAAAATGTTCTTTTTTCTCCGGTGAGTATCTCAACTTCCCTGGCCATGCTGTCCCTGGGGGCCCGCTCAGCCACCAAGATGCAGATCCTCCGGAGCCTTGGCTTTGACCTCATGACCATGCCGGAGCCCACCATCCATCTGGGCTTCGAGCATCTGGTCCACTCGCTGAATGTGTGCCACAAAGACCGGGACTTGCGGATGGGCAGTGTCCTCTTCATCAGGAAGGAGCTGCAACTGCAGGTTAGTTTTCTGGACCGCGTCAAGAAGCTTTATGGGGCAAAAGTCTTTTCCGAAGACTTCTCAAATACAGCCAGTGCCCAGGCACGGATCAACAGCTATGTGGAGAAGGAGACCAAAGGGAAGGTGGTGGATGTAATCCAAGACCTTGAATCTCAGACTGCCATGGTCTTGGTGAACCATATCTTCTTTAAAGGTGAGGCTGTTTCTCTTTTCTTTTTTCCATTCTTTCCCTTTTTATTTACCTGGGTGTTTGATTGCTTGTTTGTTGTTGTTGTTGCTTTCATCGGGGTCTTATGTATTCTAAGATGGCCTCCATCAGGCTATGTACCTGAGGATGATTCTCCTGCCTCTGCCTCCCTAGTGCTGGGATTGTAAGTGTGTTCACCACACCCCGGTTACACTGGGGGACTGAACCCAGGGCTCTGTGCATGCAGCACAAATCTACTAACAGAGACAGGAGACTAGCCCACCCCTGATTTATATTTCTTTTCTTCTTGGTGTTGTGTAGTCAAGGAAACAAGTGTGTACAACAAGACCCAGACAGCAGGGTGTGCCTGGGTTCTCATCAGCTTCACAAGTAGCTACCTGCACGTCCTTGGCTGACATCTGTTCTCTCTCCCAGCTGCCATTCATTAATTAACTTGGAGCCTCATTCAGCTTTGTCTTAGCAGGAAGCAAGGGGCTGTCCTAAAAGGCTGGCTGACACTGTGCTCAGCAAAGAGGACCCTGGAATGTACACTGGAACTATTTGGGAGAAATAGAGCTTGCACTTTGCCACCAGCACCTGTCTTCCTACTCCCCATAACCTTCAGAGCAGAGACACAAAGCCAGTTTAAAAAGCTATCCCAACAGTGAGAACAGTTTCAAAGGTTTGGAAGTGTGGACAAGCTAGCCTGTCACTCACAAGAGCTTTGCTGCTTACAGAGACACTGTCATGAATGGCACTGTTCCCAGGCAGGGTGAGCATCAGCTTTGAAATCGTACAGCCCTGGGTTTGAGTTCTACCCCTGCCCCTCCCTTGTCCCACACCCCTAAGTGTGATGCTGTAAAAAAAAAATCTGCCAAGGACTAAGTGGCCACTCTGTGACTGTCTACGCTGCTTGGCTGGGCAGTCACTAAGCTCACACAACCTCACAGGACCACACCGGAAGCTTGGTGCCTGGACTTCAGAGCAGTGTGTGGCACTGTGTCACACACACACTGTGTCATGGTTCCTTCCCACCACTTCCCACCTTCCCATTGTACTTCCTTCCCTCCCTTCATCCTTCCGTTTGCCCAACCATTACTTCATTCACCCAGCTTTCCTTCCATGCATCCATTTTTTTCTCTACTTACCAATGCAATCTGGCCATTAATCTAGCTATCCACCTGCACATCCACAAAACACAGAAAAAGGGGAAAGAAAATTGAGCCGCTTTCCTCCATTAGTGAGTTATCGTCATTTGCTGTGTATGCTCCAGTTTGGTTTAGTTCCAATGAAGGGTGCACACAGTGTAAGATCATTAGAAAGTGTCCACGTCAGTGTTCTCGGTTGCTGGCATCTTCACCAAGGCTGCTCTGGGCTGGAAGTAGGGTACGGTCTCTCACATCTGTCTAGTTATCTGTTGTTTCCTGGGACAGTGTATTAAGGAGCACTGTCCTGAGATTGAGTGAGCATCAGCTTTGAAGACAGATATCAGTTACTTTCTATAATTGAGCATATTCTCCTCTTCAGAAGGAAGACCCCACCCCTCCAGCTCCTGCTCCCCCCAGGAGACCAGTAATCTCCTTTTTTTGTTTCTGCAACCTGCCTGTTTCAGACATTTCCAATAAATGAAACAATAGGATTGCAGGCCTCATTGCCCCTAGGCTTTGGTGTTCATGTTCCATAACCCAATTCCCTTTATTGGGGCCTGTCATTTGCCTGTATGGGTCCATGCTACTGTCTCCTTCCAACCCGAGAGGCTCCTGTAGCACTGGTAAAAGCTTATCTGCTTGGTTTCACCCCACTACTGTTGGATCCTCACATGTTCTGATCAGAAATCATCCTTTGATCTTCTTGAGGCCACCTGAAATGTGACAAGTCAATTGTGAAGCTCCTTTGCCTTTGGACTGGTTATGACATGTCTGGGTGTGGAAATCGCTGACTGTGCTGCAAGGTTTTAGTTTTAGTTTTAAGTCAGATTTTGGGAGCTTCTGGGTGTTTCTTCTTCCCATAGTCACTCTCTCCCTTTACTTTCTCTTTCCTTTGGGGAGTCCCGCAATGTGTGTATTGCTATGTGGATGGTGTGGCCCGGGTGTCTGGTGTGTTGCTGGTTTTCCTCCGTCTTTTTCTAAGTATTTCTCATATTACACACTTAGCTGATACATTTTCTGGTTCACTGGTTATTGTCTTCCGTTAGCTCTAATCTGCTGTTGAGTATCTGTCTCTTCACTTCTGTGACCATATTTTCTAGCTGCAGACTCTATGTGATGGCTTCAGATCATTTCTTTCATTACAGGCAGATGCTTATTCAAATACAGTTTCTTTTAGCTCTTTGAGCATGTTCAAAATAGCTGCTTTGACATGTGTGATTAGTAAGAGCCATATCTGGGTTTCAGTAAGTACACTTTCATTAACTTTTTTCCCATCCCCTAATGTTTGGAGCATACTTTCTGGTTTCTTTTCATAACTCTTTTGATTTTTGTTTTCTTAAAAATATTTTATTACTGATATTTAGTTATTTGTATGCACACATGTGCATATGTCATAAGTATTTATACACAAATGCAGTTGCTTACAGAGTCCAGAAGAGGGATTCAGACCCCCTAGAACTCACTGTGTTAGGGCCCCAGATAATACACAGAGACTTATATTAGGTACAGATGCCTCTTGGCCAATGACTAGGATTCTCATCTGTTAGCTCAGTCTTAATTATCATAAATCTATATATTTATATATATTTATAAGACTTATCTTATTGGACACCTTCCGCTGGCGTCCTCATCCCTGGGATCACATGATGGCTCCGGAGGAAGAGAGAAGGGGAATAGGAACCACTTCCTGCTTGTCCTTCCTTAAATATGAGTCTCCCTGCTATGTCACTTCCTGCCTGGATCACCACTTCTTTACTACATTTTCCAGAATCCTCCTGGACTCCTAGTCCGGTCTAACTTGCTGCCTCCTTGGCCAAACAGTACTTTATTCAAAAATCAATAAGAGGAACATACATAGAAGTACATTCCCCATCATCTCCTCTTTTCTGTCTAAATAAAAGAAGGGTAACTTATCTTTTATAATAACTGAAGAAAACTATAACCATAACTGTCTTCAACTCTATCAAGGACCACAAAAGGATAATATCAGCCCAACGTTGTATATAATGTAAACCAATTCTAGACATAAAGTCCCCTTCCAGAGGGTCCATCCATGATGCTGTTCATTGTAGCACTTGTTTCCTGTTTCTTCCAAATGAATTCTTTAAAATCACAGATGTCTTCTTGGCTGGAAGATACCCCAATCTTTGCAGAGGGTCGCAGCATGCATACTGCAGCTTGCCATCCACACTGGACGGAGCAGTCTATAATTTTGTCTCATCTTCATTTTCTATTTGTGAACCCCAAGGCCAGCTGGCAGTGAAAGCCCTGAAATGCCCAGATATTTCCCAAGCTGCCAATAGCTTTGCTCATGTCTGGGGCCTCTGCATGTTTGAGATATGCTGGAAGTTTCCAGTTCTTCTGTAAACATTGGATTCTTTCGATGTTTATTTGTTTATTTCTCTGTTGTCCTTTGTATGCCCCCCAAGGCAGCCAGGAAGTGAGGACATTTGCCTGTAACTGCACCCCCACACCCCCACATCTCTAGGGAGAAGGCATTAGGTACCAAGTAAGCCTCAATCAGTTGTGTGACCTGCCCCCATGCAGTTCACACCATGATAGTTCTTTGGTAATGACACATTGAAAGCCTCTCCCCACAATTCTGTTCCTGTCCCTCTGGTTGCACTAATCCAGTGTAGAATCCTAGACTACTTCTGAGCCATGGGATAGCTAAGGATGGGCCTAGTGCCAATAAGGGTGTCACAAAGCTGGCCATTCCCACCAAGATTCAGTCATTTGTCTTAAATGAACTCTCTTTGGATCACCATAAGGCTTTGATTGCTAGAGTTCTAAAAGACTGGGACCATGTTTAGGGAAGGATCTATATGTAGAGAACGTACTTTGTCATTTTGCTGGTAGGGGCTTCCTCCTCTTTTCTCGGCTTGCCCTCTTAAGGTTTGTGGTTAGTGGATTATTTGCCTCAACTGTTATGTACTGCCCAAGGTGTTTCAGAGTTCCGCCTGCCACTGTCTTGGCAATTGTCCTTGGGGAAATGATATTTGCCTTGGCTAAACTCCAAGTCAGGTTAAATACAGATTTTATAAGTCATTCATTTGGTATTGCAGGATGGGCAGGTCAACTAAAGGCAATTCTTTGGGAATGAGTCTCTGTCTGTTGTTGTTTTGAAATATGTTCTCTTTCTGTATAGCCTGAGATAGTCTCAAACTCACAGGCATCCAGCCTTGGTCTCCCAAGTTCTGGATTGCAGTTGTGAGCCACTATGCCTGACTGAGAATGAGTCTGTAAAGTGCTCCAGCCCCATCTTGATTTCATTGCAAATGTTGACTATTATTTTTCATGGCTGTACAGAGCAGAGAATGTTGTCTGGTACTAGATCACGTTAGAATACCACAAACTTCACAGCTTCTAGAAAGAGGCTGTTTATTTTAATTCATAGTTTGTTTCTTAGAAACAAATTGATTCTGACTGTTGTTGGCAGTGTGTGTGCATGTGTGTTCAATAAGTGGGGTGTGTGTAAGTGAGTGGTTGGTATAAATGTATATGATGTGTGTGTGTGCATGATATGTGATATTTGGGATGTATTAATGTATGTGAAAGTGTGCATGGTGTGTGGTATGTATGTAGTGTATGGTGTGTATATGTGAAAGTGCGTGCGTGTGTGTGTGTGGGGGGTATGTGTGGTGTATTTGTTTGTCTATGCAATCATGGGAGTGGTATGTGGGGTATATTTGTGGTGTGTGTGTGTGTGTGTGTGTGTGTGTGTGTGTGATGTGTGTGTGGGGGGGTATATGATATGTGATATGTGTGTATGGTATATATTTGTGTGTGGTATATGATGCATATGTTATGTATATGTGGGGGAATATATGCTGTGCATGTGTTTGTGTGTGTTTTATGTATATGTATGTTATGTGGTGTGTGTTACATATATATGATATGTGGGGGGTATGTGTATGGTTTTGTATGTGTGGTGTGTGCATATATGTTTATGTGTGTTGGGGATGAAAGTCAAGGCCTGGCAATCTAGCCATAGTTGCTTTCATGGGGAAGTGAGTTTCCAGGGCCCCTCATCCCCCTCTTTACCTGGGGGGACATAAAGCCCTCTCCTCTTTTGCACTGACAGAACCCCTCCCTCTCTTCTTTCTCTGTGCTAGCCAACTGGACACAGCCCTTTAGTACTGCAAATACCATCAAGAGCTTCCCATTCCTTCTGAGCGAGGGCACCACGGTGCATGTTCCCATGATGCAGCAGACGGAGTTGTTTGCTTTCGGAGTGGACCGCGAGCTGGGCTGCTCCGTGCTGCAGATGGACTATAGGGGAGATGCTGTGGCCTTCTTTGTCCTCCCTGACAAGGGCAAGATGTTGCAGCTGGAGAAGAGTCTGTCAGCCAGGAGGCTGAGAAAGTGGGGCCGCTCACTCCAGAAAAGGTACGCATTGCTGTCAGATTGCTAGGAGCTGCTCATTCAAGCATGGGTTGGCAGAGGGTGGGCAATGTGGTAACAGCTGTTCAGTAACCAGTCCTGTGTGCCAGCCTCTGCTCCCATCGTTTGGTGAATTGGGAACTGTGTCCACACAGCACCACATGAACTTCCCTGTCACCTGGTACACAAAACAGTTTCCGCATCCTCCCCTTCCCTCCGCCCTCCCCCTTTCCCAGCTGGAAACAGGCTCCTTGAGGGTAAGTGAATGTATTAGTTGCTTTTCTATTGCTGTGGCAAAACACTGTGACCAAAGGAAGAAATAATTGACCTTGACTTACAGTTCCAGAGGAGTTAGAGCCCATCACAGTGGGGATGCGTAGCAGCAAGTGTAGGCATGGTGACAGGAACAGGAAGCTGGGACACAATGTCTTCCACTGCACGCATGATGCAGAGAATGAACTGAGGGAGGGGCAAGGCTTTAAACTCTTGAAGCCCGCCCCAGTGTCATCCCTCCTCCAGCAAGGCTGCACTCCCCACATAACCTCTGCAAGCAGCCCTACCTCCCAGGACCAAGTGTTCTTATGCCTGAGCCCATAGGGGACATTTCTCACTCAAATCACCACAGTGAACCACCCAAGGCCACACACACAAAGCCATTCTGTCACTGTGGCATTATGTTGAAGCAGAGTTCACCCCAGAAGCCAAAGTCATATTGAGTCTTATGAAATTATGTTTGTAAAAGTAAGAAAGCAAACCTATCAAGGTCTCGGCACTCACTTGTAAAGTGAGGGCCACGGTGTCACGGTGGCACTGGAGTTAGAGGTTGCTGAATTCACATTGGAAAGTGCCAGATAATATCTGGGCCGTGTAAGTACCTAATGAGCAGCAATGTTGTTAGCTCTGCACTCACTGTAGAGAGAATGAGGATATTAACTATATGATACAAAAGGTTATTGAATATTTATGTTATCTCCCTGGCATCTTCATCATCCTCAGGTGTTTGTCATCTAACAGGAAAGACAAGCTAAGTCTAAGAATAATAGTCATTCAAGTAAGACAAGGACCAGCATCCCAGGAAGGCAGACAAAGTGCCCAGGAGCTCATGAGCAGAGGGAGCATGCTTTCGGCAGGGGAATGCTTCAAGGGGACAGTGATGACATTGCCACAAGCATGGGCGTGCAGTGATGGCCATGGTCTGGGCTAAATATTTCCAGGTTCCTGGCCTCTTAATCAAATGGAATGCAAGACCATGTAGGTTTCAAAATAGCGAGGAAACTTTCTTCAAAGTGAAGCCACAATACAGATCAGAAAGAAACAGGCTGGCAAGGTTGGTCGTGGTCACACAACTGGGGCTATTCAAAGGCCCAATGCCTGGAGCTTTCTTTTCAGAGGCTCAAGAGGAGGAGTTTGATTTCTAAGGGCATAGCAAGGGTGGTTCCCTGATTTGATTGTTAGATTGGGTCATTTGCTTGCTGTTCCTATGAGATGCTCATAATGCATCTCATTTTAACCATACCCAATTGTGCACAGACAAAGTTGCTAAAAAAGCTCTCCCTAAAAGTTCACATAGTTTACCTTATTTATTCACATCCAGAACCAGTCTAGGCTATATAGGCCCGTTGCTCATAGATCCTGATGGTGTTCTGGGACATGCTATCAAGGGGTTCTTAAGGGAAGTAAGAGATTCTATTGATAAAGCAGTTGTTGTGCAACTCTGTGCAAGTCAGGGGTCCTAGGTACATTGTTTGGAGAGGATTGGAGTCCCAGGTCATTGAGATGTTCCTGATGCTTGCCTGCCTCAGGTGGGGCATGCACACATTGAGACCGGGGTGGGGAGGTGCCGGGGCAGGAGGAGCATTTCTGATGGAAGCAACATCACTGACAAAGATGGAGTGTGAAGTGCCAAGAGGCACTTTCGGGGTCTCTTCTCTTCTCTTGCTGCACCAGTGTTGGGTAGAGGAAGAAGAGAGGGTATGGGGGAGGCTGGGGGAAGATAGAACAGAGGAAGCCAGAGATGCAGAGACACCCAGGTCAGCAGAAGAGGGACTCGTCTGTGGCACTAGCTGACAAGGAGACTTGACAGATGGAGACTGGGGTATCTCTCCAACGTCTTGTGTTTTTATATCTTTGAGAAGCTAAGCTCTAAATATAGACAAAGCACTGCAGTTAAGCTTACCCATCTCTAAAACCGAGAGAAATGTTGCTGGCTGTGCCTGGGATAGTGGTTCAAGGTAATTGCTCACTCAATAAACAGGTGGTATCTGCTCTGAGGTAAGAAAACTATTGCAGAAGAAGATTATGTGCCAGAGTCTAGGTTTGTGCTATCCATTACGGTAGCCACTGGCCACACATGGCCATTTAGATTTCAATTAAGTAAAATGAAATAAAATTAGGGGACAGTTAGATGGCTCAGTGGATACGGGTTCTTTCTTCCAAGCCAAACAACCTGAGTTTCATCCCCAAGATCCTTAAGTTAGAAGGAGAAAACTGACTCCCAAAAGTTGTCCTCTGACTTACACACGTGCGCGCGCGCGCACACGCGCGCGCACACACACACACACACACACACACACACACACACAGAGAGAGAGCGCGCGCACACCCACACACACACACACACACACACACACACAGAGAGAGAGAGAGAGAGAGAGAGAGAGAGAGAGAGAGAGAGAGAGAGAATTTATTGCACACATGTGACACCAAACCCCATCAAATAAATTAATTAAAGTAAAAGTTTAGCTCATTGTTTTCTGTAGGCACATGTCATATTGTTCAGTAGCCACACGTGGCCAGTGGCAACTATATTGGACAGAGTGGGTATCAGTGTATTCCCAGCAAACAGGGAGGGTTTAGGTATATTCCCAGCAACGGCGGTACAACATTCTGGTGTAGGAGGGTGTCACTTTGAGAGATTAGCAGGACTTGCTGGTCTCAGGAAGTCCTGCTGGGCACGGCCAGGTGATGCAGCTGGTAAGTGAATAGATGGAGACATCATGGCCCCTTCTATTTCCATTCTGTTCTCCATAGGTGGATCAAGGTGTTCATCCCGAAATTTTCCATTTCTGCTTCCTACAACCTGGAAACTATCCTCCCCAAAATGGGGATACGAGATGCCTTCGACGGAAATGCTGACTTTTCCGGGATTGCAAAGACACACATCCTGCAGGTTTCTAAAGTGAGTTGATGGAGATGCTTGTAAGAAAGGCCATGCTGGAAGAGACAGCTTACAAAGGCCTCTCATCTTACTGAGAAGGTGACAGACTAGAGAGGCTGAAGCATTAAAATGGCCAAAGCAAAGGCCGAGTCTCATGGCTGCCAGGCCTGGGCCATTATGGCCACCACAATCTGACTCACAGGTACCCATAATCCCTTCTCAAACATATGATCCGAGCTTCTTTGAAAAGCAGGTATGTTGCCAGCAAGCAACACTGTTGCCACTTACCTGCAGAGGAAGAGCAGAGAGCATCCGTGTCACTTCCTTCCCCACTACAACTGAACTTCCAAGCAGATATAATGGCAGGCCCAGCCCAGGTGCCTTTCATACCAGTGTTTGTCCTGAAGTGGAGGAGGAGTCTGGATCTAAAATTCCAGATTTTTGGTTCTCTTGTGAGGAATTGTTGAACCCAATTCCCACATGACATAGCAATTGCTGCATGTGAAGATTCTTAGCCATGCAAGTGAGCCAGGTACCCATATTCCCACACAAGTTTTCTTAGTTCACCGTCTAGCCTCTATCCACATCCAAGCCCAGATCCATCAGGTTTTTGATCCTTGGCTTAATAAGTTAATTTGATAATGGATTATGATGGTCAGATATGGTTCTGGGGACATTTTTGTCATTGGTTCCCAGGGAAGAAAGGCTGAAAGGTCCCCATGGGATATGATGAGCCCAGAAGAGCTTTACCCAAGGGGAAACACTCATATGTGCCTGGCAAAATGAATGCCTGTCCTCATGGGTGGGTTCGCAGCCCATCCTGTAGCTTGGCCATTGTTGCAGGCTGGAGCCTCCTCCCTAGAAGAGCATCGGCCTTTGGTTGCACCAGGCTCATGTCACAGCTTTTGTGGGAGCCACTGACATCTGCTCCCCCTTTTACAGGTTGCTCACAAGGCTGTGCTGGATGTTAGTGAGGAGGGCACGGAAGCCGCAGCAGCCACCACCAGCAAGCTTATAGTCCGCTCAAGAGATAGCCCTTCTTCTGTCATCTCCTTCAACCAACCCTTCCTGATGCTACTCTTGGATAAAAGTACAGAATCTATTCTCTTTCTAGGGAAAGTTGAAAATCCCACCAAGATGTAGGTGGGAAGTGAACTGTTGGCTGGTCCCCCACTAGTGATGCACAAGAAATAAGGCATGTATTGGATGGTACTTGCAGGGCGATGTCAAGACTTGCTTCCTTGCTTGAGACCCACCTGACCCCAACAGGGGTGCATTTGCCTCAGGGAGGGCACCCTGGAGGCTTAATCATCAAAGTGACAACAGAGCTTGGTCACCCCACCAGTGGTCCCTGTCACCTGTTCTGGGAGTGGGGCAGGGCAGGCAGGCCTCCACCCCTCAGAACTCTTGGGGATGGTGCCACACAGAGCTAAGTGCCCTTACTTTCATCACTGGCTTCTAGCACTGCATTCAATAAACCTGAGATGTGAACCCAGTGACCACAGGCCCCACCCCACCCCATCACCAGGGTCCTATCTGAAAAAGAGGCATTGCTCACTTCTAAGTGGCTGGGTTGTCAGTCGTGATTCATTTCTTCAGCCTATTGAACACTTCAAGGACAAGGTTCCTGGCACGCTGGGTCTAGATGGGAGAGAGACCATTCAATAGGGACAAAACAAAGCTGTGGATAGAGTTTGTGACAAATTCACACAAATGCCCCGAGGCTGTGTGGGACAGTCAGAACACTCGCAGGAGAGGAAAGAGAGTGTTATGGGGGCTCTGCAGTGATCCAGCATCAGAGGGACAGTGGGGAGGCCCTGTGGTCGGAGCATCGTCCTCTGTCAGAGATGCTAAGGTAGACACTGGCACTCAGGTAAGTGGAGAGAGGATTGCATAGAAACTCACACTTCTCAAGAAGACCACCTAAGCCAGGTGAGTGATGGGAAGAGCATGCCCACTGGGGCAGGAAGAAAGCAAGTATCAATGCAGTGTGGGCTGTAAAGACCTCTCCAAATGCAGCCACCTTCCTGGCCCGGTGACAAGGCCCTGGAGCAAGCAGCCTCTCCCTGGTGTGGCTGTTTGTAGTGACAACAGTCTTCTGTACACTGAAAGCCACACTGAATGCCCTGGGCCCTGGAGGCTTCAAGGCAGAGGCAACTCACAGCCTTTGTCTCAATCGCCACTGTCCCTTCTGCCCCCACTGCCAGGTGCCCCATGTGGGAGCCTGATGCCTTCATTTCTCAGCACTGACGTGTCCCATATGGCCTCCAGCAAAGCTGGAGTTCCTTTTTCTGGAGGTCCCAGTGCCTCAACACTATAAATGTGTCACCCAGGGGCCTTTACCAGGCTCTGTTACGTAGAAAGAAACAGACTTACGCTGGGAAATGCTTTCAGAAGGAAGTCAGGTAGGTGCCCTCTGCTGGTCAGGAAGCAAAAAAACGTAGGTAGGAAGGCTTGATGTTCCCATCTGTGTAGACAGGACACCACTATAGGCTGGCGCATGACTTCAAACTCATCAGCTACACAATGTCAAGAATGACTAAGCCTGGCATGAGTGTCTCGCCCAAGACGACTAACAGTATTATAAATAGAGCCCAGGGTGACTAGGGCATCAAAGCAAATAGACAACTATAGATTCCCAGTCCTGAAACCAGAGCACCAGGCGCTGGCCTGCTCATATAATCCCAGAGGCCCCTGTACGATGTCTGAGGCTGTGATGGCCAGGAATGATTGTCAGCCAGACAAAAAGAAGCTTCTGCGTGTCTTTGAGAGGTTATAAAGATGAGGATCACTGCGGTAGGGGTGCTATTCCTTGGGCTGAGGTTTCTGATTAAATATAAAGGAGAAACCCAGATACAAGCATTCACTACTCTCTTCTTCCTGGCTATAGATTCAGTGTGGCCACCTGCCTCTAACACCAGCCATTGAGACTTCTCTGAACTGTGCCTTGAGCTGTGAGGTACACGCTTTTCTTTTCGTAATCCAGTTTTGTCAGGCTGATTTTTGGTCACAGCATTGCTCTAGCAAAGCGTTGCGCCTTACACACCAGGCATTTCCTCAGTGGAACATCTTTCTTTCTCCACAGACTGTTCACTGCTCCCACTGTGTATTCTGCATGGCTGGGGTGTGCAGAATATGGGCTCCCCAGTGCTAATCAACCTTCAGCGTGGGTGGCTGAGCTGGCTGCATGGCAGCTGCCTAAGCACTTAGAATGTAAATAAAAACACAGGCCACCCAAACCTGTCTGTGCAGGGATATTTTTAAGAGCATTGTCGACCATGTGGGCACCCTGCCCAGGGCACCAGGCATTTGGAATTTCTAAGTGGATATCCGTTCCTCATCGCCTACTCAGTGAATCGGTCTGCAGGCATTTAACTGAACTAGGCACCTGTTATGGGCAGAAGCAGCAGTCCTGAGGCTGGGGTGTGCTGAGGAGTCACTCCCACATTGTGGAGTTTGCAGTGAGGCAGGAGGAGGAGAGGAAGGCACTGGGAAGATCACCAAGTGCAGTGACAGGGACATGGCTTCCACTTGGGTCTCTGCCCTGCAGTCCACAGACACCGGTAAGAGCAGCTTCTGGGGTCTGACACTGGGGACCTCACATGCATCACAGGTACCCAGCTTGCAAGCAAGAGGCAGAAGGGACCAAGCTCAGGATGGTGGACTTCAGAGGGGGGTTCAGTTCAGGCTCTCTCAGGGAGAATGGAAAGGCAGCTCTGCCCACCCCAACCCCTGACTGTGCACGCTCTGGGACTCTGTCTAATCTCTATGTGCTTTTTCCCCTCTCTTAAGAATCCATGGCACCAGTGTCATTAGGTTGTCAAGTGAGCAAACACAGTGTGAATCCTGAGGAAGACTCAGCCCAGATAATCGGTGGTCAGTGAGCACCACCCGGGTATACTGTTGCTCTTAGCACAGCTGACATTGGAAAATGGGAAGCAAGAATGTTTCTGATAAGCTAATTCCCTGGCTGGGAGCTGTGGAGAAAGGCAGACATTTATGCAGAATGTCATCCTGGCTCCTGTCTACCACCCACCCCCCACTTGCCCATCCTCAGAGGCATCCATGACACCTGACACCCCCTGGCACCCTCCATCCTACCTGGAGGTCAGAATTGGCTGCAGAAGAGGGTACCCTTCTGCTCTGTGGTGCACACTTGCTTTCCAGAGATGACACACGCCCTCTCCACAGCCCAAAGGAGCCCTCATATAATGAATGTGGGGGACAGTGATATTGTCACCTGCTTTGTGATGGCTGTGAAGATTGGTGTGATAACACAGAGCAGATAGATGTGTGGCACAGGCGCTGCTCAGCACAGGGGTGGCCACTGTCACTGTCCAAAATCACAAGCCGTTTGTTCAAAAGTGGCCTGGAAGTCACATTCCCTTCCTCCTCTGTCACAGGTGGCCATACCATACTGACAGAGACAAAACCCTAGAAGAGAATGTGAGTTTCTTTCATAATTAATAAAGTTTGTTCTTAGACAATTTTATACGTGTGTACAATGCATTCTGGTTACTCTTTCTTTTCCTCTTTGCAAGCCAGCACGAGGAATGTGCTATATATAGTGCTATAAGCATTCCCGAGGAAAGACTTAGCACAGCTGATGAGATTTACTTGTGGAATTAATTAACTCTCCTTTGTAATGTTAAAATTGTATTCATTTTATTGAGACCAAGATACACGGTCTGTAAGAAAGTTGGAGAATATAAGAACTTACAAAGGGGCTTGAGGAGGCTGCAGCAGAGTTGGGAACAGGCTGCCCTGCAAGCATGAGGACCTGGGTTAGATTGCCAGCACCCACAGAAAATGCTGAGTGTGGTGATTTGAGCCTATAATCTCACTGGGGAGGTAGAGACAGGTGAATCCCTGGGGCTCCCTGGTCCAATCAGTGAACCCCAGGGCCCAATGTGTGAGACCCTGTCTCACAAAACAAGGTGGATGGCCTCTGAGCAATGACATCTTCTGAGACAGACCTCTTCCCTCCACGTACACATGCACACAGCCCACCCCCTCCTCACCCCACAAACAAGAAAAACCCAGCACCCTATTTCACAGGTCTTTCTTTTTGTAAATACTTATTTTTATTTTATTATCTCTCTCTCTCTCTCTCTCTCTCTCTCTCTCTCTCTCTCTCTCTCTCTCTCTGTGTGTGTGTTTG